CTCTGTCTCTCATGAATAAATAAAAATCTTAAAAAAAACCCAAAACCTTACGCATAAATATTCCTATCCACAGTCTACCATGTTATGTCACCTTGCAAACACTGGACTTGGAATTGAAAGCTTTGCTCTCAAATCTCAGCCCTGCCATTGAATAGCTTGAGCCGTCAGGCCAGGCACTTTGCGTGGCTTGTAATCTCTCTTTGTAGAAGGTGGATGAGAACTGCAAGCTCAAAGCTTAGGAAAGCCCCTCTCTAGCTCAGAGCCTGGTACATAATAAACATTCAATAAGTGTGGTTGGGATCTGAGGAGGATGTGAGACCCACAGAGGAAAAATCACTTACAATGGCCCTGGTATTTGAGAACTTACAGGCAAACAATGTGCCTGGTGCACATTTTCTTAGCAACCATGTTTTCCCATTTTTAAGATACAGAAACAGATTCGGAGAGGTTCAGTTATTTAACCAAGCTCATACTGTTAGGAACTTCAGATTTGAACACAGGTCATTTCCAAGGACCCACTTTCTACCCCCCAACTTTTTACTAAAAACATACAGAAGAGTTGAAAGAATAATTCAGTACATACCGACACAGTGTTAACATACGGCTACTTTAGCATGCTTTCTTTAAACGTATACGTGGTTGGGACTACTTGGAGGAAGATACAAACATCATGTCCTTTAGCCCCGATATGGAATGAATGTTTATGTCCCCCCCAAATTCATATGTTGAAGCCCTAAGCCCCCAGTGTGGTGGTATTTAGAGATTTGTCTTTGGAAGGTTAGTAGGGTCAGATGAGGTCACAATGGGATCAGTGCTCTTATAAGAACAGACACCAGAGGGGTGCCTGAGTGGCTCAGTCTGTTAAGCGGCTGCCTTCAGTTCAGGTCATAGTCCCAGGATCCAGGGATTGAGCCCCACGTGGGGATCCCTGCTACGCGGGGACGTCTGCCTCTCTCTCTCCATCTGCCTCTCTCTCTCCATCTGCCTCTCCCCCTACTCATGCTCTCTCTTGCTCTCTCTCTAATAAATAAATAAAAATTAAAAAAAAAAAAAGAACAGACACCAGAGAGCTCTCCCTCTCTTTCCCTGTGTACATGCACTGAGTAAAGGCCACGTAAGGACACAGAGAGAAGGCAACTGTCTGCAATCCAGGAATAGGGCTCTCACCAAGAACCCAACCATACTGGCCCCTGACCTCAGACTTCCAGCCTCCAGAGACGTGACAAAACGAAATTCTGTTGTTCAAGCCATCCGGTGTGTGGTATTTTGTTATGGCAGCCTAAGCAGACTAAGACAATCCCTAAATGCCACCGGGTACATCCGCTGAGAATGAAAGACATTCTCCTACATAATCACACCCAAGAAAACTAGCAATGATGCGGTAATATCTAATATCCTATTCAAAGTCAAATTTTCCTCAGTTGTCTTAAGAACGTCTTTTTATAGCCGCTTTTATTTTTTTTTAAAGATTTTTATTTATTTATTTGACAGAGAGAGACACAGCGAGAGAGGGAACACAAGCAGGGGGAGTGGGAGAGGGAGAAGCAGGCTTCCTGCCGAGCAGGGAGCCCGATGTGGGGCTCAATGTGGGGCTCGATCCCAGGACCCTGGGATCATGACCTGAGCCGAAGGCAGACGCTTAACAACTGAGCCACCCAGGCGCCCTATAGCTGCTTTTAAAATGTTAACCAGATTCTAGGCGAAGTCCACACATTATATTTAATATCTTTTTATCTAGAACAGTCCCACTGTCTCACCTCCCAACGCACCTTCCCGTCCTTGGCAATTGTGAAGAGTCCAGGCCACTTATAAAATGTACCACTTTCTAGATTTGTCTGATGTTTCCTCGTGTCTAAACACAGATACAGTATTTTGGGGCAAGAATTCCAGTAGGAGATGCTGTCTACTTTATAATGCATCATATCAGGAGGCATCTGACAAGCAGGTGGTAAGGCTAAGTTGGAACACTTCGTCCCTGTGGTAATGGGGATCCGCTTTCAACCTCTGCACAAAATAAGAGCCACCAGGCTTTCAACTCAGCTCTTCTTGACACCAGCAGAGTCAGCTGCGCTTGGAACCCAAAGTTCAGGGTTCATTGCCCAAGATTCCCTCTGGGTCTCCCAAGCTCAGCTCAGGCCCAGCTCCGCCCTGGCTGGGTACAGCACGGCCCCGCCCCGGCCCCGCCCATCCTGGCCCAGCCCCGGTCCCGCCCATCCTGGCCCCGCCCCGGCCCAGAGCGGGGCGCGGGGGGGCAGCCCCGTCGGCCCAGCGGGCGGAACCAATAGTGTCTGGCACTCCGCTCGACGTCGTCCGTCCGGACTTTGAATCCCGGAGCGCCGGGCGCACGAGGACGCTGTTCTCCGTGAGCTTCCGGGCGCACGCAGTTCTGCCGCCGCCGAGAGGGCGGATTTCCCGGTGCAGCTGCCGTGTCTGTCGGTGCTCCGGGTTCAGCCGCCACCATGGGGATCCTGGAGAAGATCTCCGAGATCGAGAAGGAGATCGCTCGGACGCAGAAGAACAAGGGTGAGGGCCGGCCTGGCGGGGCCTTCCTTTCTGCCCGCCTCAGTTTTCCTGTCTGTAAAATGGGGGAACAACTCCAGCGATAGAGCGGATCGGGCTCGAAGGCAGCAGAGAAGTGCCAGAGACGTGACCAGGTCTCGCAGCGCGCTGGAGGCAGGCAGGACCAGGCGGGATCCTGGTACCAGCGCGCTGGTCTGATTGCAGACGGTCGCTGTGAGATCGGCTCGGTGCCAGACCAGGTGCCCGATAGAGAAATCGCAGCGCGCAGCCAGCGTGTGACCCAGAGAGAGGCATGGTCGGGCTTCAAACCCGGGTCCCCTTTTGTGCTGGAAAGCCCAGGAGGAGACCTTTCACGGGTATAGCCTCACCCAGCATCTCGGGAACGGAGGCCATCAAGACTCGAGCCTGGCGGACCTGGGTTTGAACTCCAGCGCCACCCGTACCTGCTGTGAAAGCTTGGAAAGTCACTTCGCCTCTTTGAGCCTCAGTGTCCTCATCTGCAAATGGGGATCATAATCCCCGTCTCATGTTAGCTCACAGCTAAATTAAACTAGATAGTGTGTGCAAAGTACTAGGCACATGGTAAGCACTCTGTATTTAAAGTAAACCCCCCCCCAACCCCGGGCGCCTGGGCGGCTCAGTTGTTAAGCATCTGCCTTGGCTCAGGTCAGGATCCCAGAGTCCTGGGATCGAGCCCCGGGTCAGGCTCCCTGCTCGGCGGGAAGGCTGCTTCTCCCTCTCCTGCTCTCCCTGTTTGTGTTCCCTCTCTCGCTGTGTCTATGTCAAATAAATAAAATCTTAAAAAAAAAAAAAAAGTACCCCCCCCCACAACTTAGATAGCACATAATAAAGGATCAAATTTGGAGTTCAGATTGTAAGGGCTGGAGGAGCTCACAGGAGAAGAGCAGTGGGGAGAAACAAATGATGACACCCAGGAAGGCTTCCAGGAGGAGGTGGGACTTGAACTGGTTAAGGGGAGGATACTCCTGGTGAGGGGCACTGCTGAGGCAAAAGCATGGCAGTCTGGGTGAGCATGGTGTGTTTATGGGGCAGTTCTAGATCTAGAACAATCTAGCTCAGAAGGAGGGTCTGGAGTAATGGGGGATGTAATTGGCCCGGGTGGGTGAGGCCCGTTGCCGAAGCAGTCCTGCTGTGGGGTTGCAGAGGCAGGAAGCGGGGAATACTAGGTAGCTAGTCTCAGTGTCTGTCCGGCTCTTGTTCTAGAGGCTGAGAAGTTGGGGGACCTCATTCATTCATTCATTCATTCATTCATTCATTATGTGAATCTTCCCCAAGCCCTAACTATGTTCTAGGCGTGAGACAGCAGGCACATCCTTCCCCTCGTGGAGCTGACCTTCTAGTGGATAGTCTTTAAACGAATCACCAAATAAACAAGATCGTTTCAGCCAGCCATAAATGCTGTGAAGACAAATGAGGTTGATCTAACAAGAGTGTGGGGGGGTGGGACCTGGGCCTACTAAGGTAGAATGATCAGAGAAGACCTCCATGAGGTGGGGACATCTGAGCTGAGACCAGAATGAGAAGGAACCAGCCATGCAAAGATCTGGGGCAAGACTGTTCCTGGCAGAGGAAGGAACGTCGCTGAGGCAGGAACAGACTTGGCTTGTTCAGGGATCTGAAGGTCTGGGGGCTGGAGTGCAGTGATGGCAAAGGAAAGAGCCAATCATGTAGGGCCTTGTAGGTCATGGGAAGGTGGCAGTTGTGTTCTCAGGCAGTGGGAGTTAGTGGAGGGTGTTAAGCAGGGGAGAGACATAGTCTGATTTCTGTTTTGTTTTATTTATTTACTTAGCACAAGCAGGGGGAGTGGCAGGAAGAGGGAGAAGCAGACTCCCCACCGAGCTGGGAGTCCAACGTGGGGCTTGATCCCAGATCCTGGGATCATGACCTGAGCCAAAGGCAGCCGCTTAACTGACTGAGCCACCCAGGCATCCTCTGATTTCTGTTTTAAAAGTTCCCACTGGGCGCCTGGGTGGCTCAGTTGGTTAAGCATCTGCCTTCAGCTCAGGTCATGATCCCAGGAGTCCCGCATCGGGCTCCCTGCTCAGCGGAGAGCCTGCTTCTCTCTCTCCCTCTGCCTGCCTCTCTGCCTATTTGTGCTCTATCTCTGTCAAATAAATAAATAAAATCTTTAAAAAAATAAAAAATAAATAAAAGTTCCCACTGGCTGCCCTGTGGAGTATCATCTGCAAGGTTTGAGGAGAGTAGCAGGGAGGCTTTGGCAGTGGTAGAAGAGGGGTTGTAAAGATGATGTAAGGATTAAGACCTAGTCCTTCCCTCCAGAGGTGCTCAGAATCTTACGAGCTGGGATGACAGGAAGGATCAGATGAACCTGATGCTTGCTGAACCCATTCTTGACCACTTGTCACTGCCATCAATTCACTCCTTCACTTGTTAGACATTTCCTGAGTACTTGCCCTGTGCCACCAGAAGCCGGGATCCTGCCCCATTTGAGTGAGGGAAGTAAAGAAACAAGATAGTTTCAAGTAGTGATCAAAGCCATGAAGACAATAAACAGGATCATGAAGCCAAGAGGAAGGGTGGGGGTTACCGTAGATCGTAATAATAACCAACAGTTATTGGGTGCTTACCATGTGCTAGTCATTGTTCTTAGTGCTTTCTGTAAGCCTTATGAAAATCCAGTGGAGTGGTTTCTCCTGTTAACATCCCTGCTTTGCAGATTAAGAAACTGATATACAAGAAGATTACATAATTTTTCCAAAGTTACACGGCCAGGAATGGCCGGCTGGGATTCCAGCCCTGGTTCTTCCCTCGGCGTGACATTGCCCACAGCCCCCTCTGGCTGGGTAGGGGAGGCCTCTTTGAAGAGATGCCATTTGAGCTGAGCCTCGAATGTTGAGAAGGAGCCAGCCCTGGGAAGATAAGGTTGCAATGGAAAGAATAGCAAATGCAAAGGTCCTGGGGCACGAATGGTGGCAGCTTGTCCTGAAGAAACAGGAAAGCCACTGTGGCTGGAATGTAGTACATAAAAGAGCAGAAGGAGATGTTGGAGAAGTAGCGAGGGACCAGGTTACCTAGCCCCAGCCCGCTCTTGTGGCGAAGATTTTGTTTTTTTTGTTTTTGTTTTGTTTTGTTTTGTTTTATTTTATTTATTTATTTGAGAGAGAGAGAGAATGAGAGATAGAAAGCACAAGAGGGAAGAGGGTCAGAGGGAGAAGCAGACTCCCTGCTGAGCAGGAAGCCCGACGTGGGACTCGATCCCGGGACTCCAGGATCATGACCCGAGCCGAAGGCAGTCGCTTAACCAACTGAGCCACCCAGGCGCCCGTGGCGAAGATTTTGTAACACCTCCCTTTACTGTCATGAAATGCAGCTCCCTTTCGACAGCGTAACTTTTATACACACAGAATTTGAGAAAAGTCAATGCCATGCCCTAATCAGAATACAAAGGAGGAGAAAAAAGAAAGTTTAATTAAAATAGTGTTTTTTTCAATATTTAAATGTTGGGGCATGGCCAGGTTGCAGCGATGTTACAATGAAGGCGTGAGATGGTTGCACCTCTCGGTGGCATCACTGGGTATGTGGCAGCCCCATGCACAGTGGGATGTGTTGGTGACTCAGGCACCCTACAAGAGGCATCACTGGTGATAGCCTGGGATCCCAAGCTGGTGAGCACCTCTAGGTAAAGTTTCCAACAACACATGCTAGAATCTTTCCTTAACATGCGCGGAAGTTGCATTCCTGGAAATTTCAGTGTTTACTGACATTGTAAAAAAAAAAAAAAGTGTCCTGTGTTTCTATGTGAAACAGAATGAGGCTCTAGGCTCCAGTGATCCTAACCCAGGTTTTCCCTCTGCAGATGTCTTAGGGCTGTGAAAAGTCATATGGAACGTAGGAGGGCTGATGGCTGTGCCTGACTGACTCACACTTTGTAGGGCTGTGGGCTTCCCTGGTCCCTGCCTGATAAATGCCAATGGGGACTTCGCCATCACACGGACAATAGAAAACATCCCCCAGAATCCCCCAGGGAGTGGTGCTGCACCCCCCCCCCCCCGTTGAGAACCACTGACGTGGGATCGCACGGTCTCAATAAGGAGACTAGCTTCTATCCTAAATGAAGTGAGAGGCTAAGGGGACCTTCTAAGCAGGGGGGTGTTTTCTTCCCTGATCTGGTTCTGATGTTTCCAGCCAGCATTTGGTTGTATGTGGGGGCGCACCTGACCCACGGGGCTTGGAAACCCTGGATACTTACCTTCCGTCTTGCTTTACGTCCTGTAGCCACCGAGTATCACCTGGGCCTGCTGAAAGCAAAACTTGCCAAGTATCGGGCCCAGCTTCTGGAACCATCCAAATCGGCCTCATCCAAAGGAGAGGGTTTCGATGTCATGAAGTCGGGTGACGCCCGCGTGGCACTGATTGGATTTCCCTCTGTGGGTAAGGTCAGTGATGGTCAGCATGGGCCTTGGGGAGGAAGCAGGTTGTCTTCCAAACACGACTGTCCAGTGCCGCCTCTTGCTACTTTTCTGAATTAGCTCCAGGCTCCGAGGAGACCCAACCTCCCCCAGGATCGGGTCCCATCCCTTTATCATCCTGCCTTGGCGACCATCGTTGTCTGTGTGGGGGAGAGGTGTTGCCACTCAGTCTCGGACCCATCCATCACGTACGAATGTTTACTGAGTGCGTACCCTGTGCCAGGCTCCGGGCCGGGCGCTGGTGGTACGGCAGAGAACAAGATAGTTCTGTCCAGTGAAGAGACTGCTCAGATACAGGCTGAGGGAGCAATGACCAGGTGGCCTGGACAGGTGCTGGTGGAGCAGCTTTTAAACCAGTTCAGCTAAAACGTGTCAAGCCCGTTACTCTGGGCCACGCGTGAGGGGAAGTTGGTAGCAGCCACCACCTCTTGAGCGCTTATTGTTGGCCGAGCGGTATAGCTGTGTTTTGTACAGGTTTGGTTTTATTTTTATTTATTTTATTTTGTTTATTTTTAAGATTTTATTTCTTTATTTGACAGAGAGAGAGATAGAGAGCACAAGCAGGGGGAGCAGCAAGCAGAGGGAGAGGGAGAAGCAGGCTCTCCGCTGAGCAGGGAGCCCAATGTGGGGCTTGATCCCAGGACCCTGGGATCATGACCTGAGCCGAAGGCAGCCGCTTAACTGACTGAGCCACCCAGGCACCCCTGGTTTTATTTTCCCCTCTGCCTGGATAAGGGGTGTGTGTATCACAGGAGGTGGGGATCGGTCTGCTTTCTATCTACACACACACACAATGAAGGTGGGATTATAGCTACGCTGGCCACTGGCACGTTTACTTCTCCATGGCTGTCTGTCCCATTCATACGTTAGAGTTCCCTGCCTAGAAGCCCCCACTGTGGTCCTAGTGTCATCAGCAGTCTGCTCCTTCCCTCCCGTACCAATCCCCCGTTCTGGAGCTGCTGTTTCTGGAGGACGCATTCCTCCAAGTCAGCCCAGGGGCTCGAGGTTGTGGGTTTTAAAAATGCCCAGCAGCACTGCCATTTGCCCTCCGGAGAAGCTCTAGCTGACTCCATGTGAGGACAGTTAGGAATGTCTCCGAGCATCTGCTCATGGGACACTGTGTCAGCACCGGGCAGTGAGCTGGGCCACGGACAGGTTAGAGGAAGACCCCAGACTCGGCGTCAGGGTCCGCAGAAGGCTTCCTTCCTGGTGGCTTGTAGGTGCTTCTAACTCTTTGGGAGCGCTCGTACCCCAGCTGGACTTTATCATCAATACCCATCTGGATGCACTGTCCCCTTGCCCTCTGTCTGTGTGGGCTCAGGACACACAACATCCTTTTAGTTACCATCCAAGCCAGGTGGGGTGAGGAGGGGAAAGTTGCTGGAGGCGAATGTGACGCCAGGTGCTGGAAACGAGCCACTGCCCTCCGTGGCCCTTCCTGCTCCGGACCGCTAACAGTTCATCCAGCCGACACCTTGCAGCGCTCAGCGTCAGACCTGAGTGCCCGTTTGACCCGCAGCTTCCTGGCCAGTGCTCAGATCCCTGTAGTGACGGGGTGCTTATGACCCCTCAACTTGACAAAAGCTGGACACGGAGCAGCGCAGGGGCCTCCTGCTCAGAAGGAGCTGATGCCCGCACTGCAGGAGCCCCTCGGGAGAGCTGGGACCGTCCCCACGTGTGCCCTCTGCCGGCTGAACCCCCTCATGGTCTTCAGTCCTGGCAGGGTTTCCAGATCCCTCTCTGTCTCTTTGGCCCTTTCTCATTTTTCCCCAATTCTGTATACTAGAACTTCCAAACACAGAAGAGGTAAAAGAACAAGTACAGTGTTCTCTGAATCCATCGATTTTGCCATACTGCTCCATCTCTTCAGATTTGTGTCTGTGCGGGTATATGGGGTTTTGTTTTTGTTTTGACTGACCCATTTGAGAATAAATAACATCATGCTTCATGACCTTTTACCCCAAAATATTTAAGCTTGTATCCCTAAAAAATAAGGATATATTCCTACTTAGCCACAAACTATCACACCAAACAAAATGAACAGTAATTTAGGAATGATCTAACGCCTGGACCGCATTCTGATTTCAGCCCTCGCCCCCAAGTGACCTTTGCAGCTGGTCTAGGCTGTCTAGGACCCTGTAGGTGTCATCTCTCCGCCTGCCCTAATCTAGAATGGTCCCTTTTGTCAAGATCCTAATTCTAAAGAGACCAGACAGTGGTCCAACAGAAAGTCCACGCTCTGGAGCTCTCCGCTTGCTTCCTCATGGTGTGCTTTAGCTTGTTCGTCTGTTCGTTGTATTCCTGTGAGCCTAGAGTCAGGTAGAAACCCAGGACTTGGGACCAGGTTCCACATAGGAGCTGGAGTGGACCTCATTTTGTACCATGCCAAAGAACCCCTGACCGCTGTTTGCATCTCCAGAATGGCTTAGGGGGAGGGATGCCCTGTCTCCCTTCTGCATGATTGTGTTAGCCTACCCACCCCCCCAAGCCCAGACAACTGGAAAGTCCGCTGCAAGGTGCTGCTACCGTGGCACGCGGAAATCAGGCCCTGTCAGCATCTCTTTAGTGACCTTGACGCCAGTGAATTGTCCTTGCCTGGGAGTTTTGTTAGCTGCAGTATGATGTCAGTTTTCCAGTTCTCCTCCTCCTCCCTCACTAATTAGCTGATGTTCCTCTGGGGAGTAGCGCTTTCTCTCATTGGTGTCGGCTCTTTGATTAGCCTGAAAGAGTTCCTGGAAAGGCAGGACAAGTGCACATGTGCTGCCCTTAAATGACCAGCAAGATGTTGGGGTCAGAGCTGTCCCACAGGGGGAACGGTAACTATTTTTAGGCTTTAATTCTTGGGCTGTTGTTATGGACATCATCAGTTTTCGCCTGTTCTGGATTTTACTTCCAACCTGCCAAGGGCTTCTTTTCCAAGCCCAGGCTGGGAGAAGTGCTTTGTTTACCAAGGGTTGCGCCCTTGAGGGTCTGGCCCTGTGGCCAGATCCCACCGCCCTGCTGGGGATCTGGGCCCTCCAGCCATGGGAGGGCCAGGCCTCCCCCCTGCAGAGGCCAGACAGGGTTGGAGTTTCCTCCTTTTGGCCTGCAGCAATGGTCACTCAGGGTCTTGGCCACCAGTGCTCTCAGGGCCACCCCACCTACCCATACCTGTCTGCCCCACCAGGTTTTTATCTCTCCTCAGGTTTCTGAGAGGCCCCCAGGGCGGAGAGTTTCTGGATTTGAGGCCAGTGTTTCTTTCAAGGTGTGAAGGTTTGAGTGAGAGGTGCCCCCAGCCTTCCTGGTTGCTAGAGAGGCAGGGTCCAGGCGGCCTGGTCACAATTGCATCTCAGGGTGTTTGTTCCTGGTGCCCCGCTGACTAGGCTGGGGGGGGGCAGGAGGCTAGGGCTGGGTTTCTTCCCCCTCTGGCTCTGCCCACTGCTTTGCCAGCCCTCTGGGCCACTGCATCCATTGCTGTGGTCTCGCCACACTCTGGGCTTGGCGTACCATGTGCCTTCTCATCTCCTTTCACTCCACGCAGCCCCCCACAGTGGGGACTGAGCAGATGGCTAGCGTGCATACGAAGGACTCGGAAGCTCCGGAGGAAGAAGTTTCTTGTCCGGGGGAGCCCGGTCTCTCTGACCCCCAGCCAAGCCACGGCTGTGGTCCCACAGTGCACCGTGGCACGAGCTTGCCCATCCAGATCCTTCCCAGCTCACCCCTTCCTGCCTGACACCACCTTCTCCTGCCAGCTGGCTCTGTCTCAGACCACGTCTGTCCCCTTGCACATCTCACCCCTCCCTGGGTGAGCAGCCGCTTTGAGTGCCATGGGCTGTTGCCTGCTTGAAGTTCTCTGGGGCCCAGGAGTGGCTGGCGGGTTTGGTGGAGCTAGGGAGGGGGCCCTGATTTAGAAACCAGTTCCCTGTGTCCACCTGAGACAGGCCTTGAGGCCTCCAAGGAAGGGACTGGCCCTCTGGTGCCCCACCCACGCTGGGCAGGGCCAGAGGTGACGTTTCCAGCTGTCTTCTCTCCCCACGCTGAGGCTGAGGAGTCTGTGCTGCCTGCATCCGGCAGGCTCCCGGCCTGTGGGGAGCCTCCCAGGAGGCTGGGACAAGACTCCTCACTGCAATGAGCTCCTTTTTCTCCTAGTCCACCTTCTTGAGTCTGATGACCTCCACAGCCAGCGAAGCTGCGTCCTATGAATTCACCACCCTGACATGTATCCCTGGGGTCATCGAAGTAAGTTGGGGTGTGCTGGATTCCAGAAGGGGGAAGGGTGTGTGCTCAGGTTTGCAGTGGTGTGGAGGGATGTGGTGTGCAGGTGGGTGTCTGTGCGGAGGGAGACGGCTCTGAACTGAGCTGCTTTGCCCCAAAGCCCTGGCACCTCAGGATTCTGGCTGCCGAGACCCCAGAGATGCCTGACTGGTTCTGGGAGTCGGGCCGGCCCATGGCAGCTCTCCCTGGCGCCCCGTCATGCTCCGCTGTCCCACACCACCCCAGCTTGGGTCACTTGTTGCTGGCTGGCCGGATCCCCCTGGCTCCCATGAAGCTTCAGAGCCTGGGGCAGCTGGGGTCCCGGGGCCTGGAGCCTCCGTGCTGCAGGGACGTCTTTGTGGAGTGCTCTTACCATCACTGAAGATCCCACCGTGGTGGGATCGTAACACCTCGAGAGCCCCTCCCCAGCGGCTCCTCAGCTCGCGGGAGAGGGTCTGTGCCGGGCGGGAGCGGTGAGAAGACAAGGCTTAGGCCTGGCCCCGGAGGCTGACCCCAGGGTTTCCCACAGCCCCTGCAGTGCAGGCTGTTGTAGGGCTCCTGGGGTCAGGCAGGCCCCTCCTGCAGGGACTCCTCTCCTGACCTTCTCTTCCCCATCCTAGTATAAAGGAGCCAATATCCAGCTTCTGGACCTTCCTGGGATCATCGAGGGTGCAGCACAAGGTAGGAGGTGGGGACAGGAGGGTGGGAGACAGGGTGGCTCTCAGCACCCCGGCCCGCCCTTCCAGAGGGTGTTGGGTGTACTGGCCTCACTGTTAAAATCGGACGTGGCTGAGGGCTTGGACGGGTAGGGCGAGGCTCGCAGCCTCTCACACTGCTCCGGCCTCGTACCGTCGTGGCTGGCCCCATCTGAAAGCCGAGGAAACCGAGGCCCCTCGAGGTGAAATGACTTGCCCAAGGTCGCATAGCTCGCCTGACAGGTTGGAATTCGCTCTTCCATTCCACGGGTTCCAGCACGGCCGCGCAGGGAAGCCTGCAGGGAGCGGACACCTGTCAGCTGTGCTGCTCGTCCTGGAGCCCCATCCTTCGTCGTTTTGGTTTTGTGTGTTCTGAGATGGGAACATGCCCGCGGCTTCTGGGGGCGGCCCGCAGGGGGTGCCCCGCAGCCTCGCAGAGATGGGAACCAACGGATGGTTCTCCGGCAAGCGCCGGGCTGTGTGCTGGCTGCTGTCTCGATCCTCAGCTGGCCCTGTGACTTACCGAGTGTCACCATTTCCTGTTCATAGCTGGGAGGGACGTCAGGGATGATGGGTAAAGCGTCTGCCCTGAGCGACTGTTGACCCACTGAGGGGCAGAGCTGGGGTCGGCGCCCGCCTCTCTGGCTCTGTAGCCCCGGCATGGCCGGGCCGCAGGGCCTCCTCCCTGCGGGTCCGGTGCTGTCTCTGCCCTGTACCCTCCTGTACCCCACCGTCATCGGGGCAAAGTCCTGCCTGCTTAGACCGGGGCAGGGGGAGTGGCGATGGTCCCCCACGAACCTGCTGTCCCCGCCAGCACCGTGGGGCCTGGAGGCGGTCTGGCCACGGTGGGGGGGAGTGTGCGGGGAGTGTCGGGAGGTAGCTGGCCCGTGAAGATCACCAGGCCCAAGCCCCTCTTTCTCAGAAGAGGGAGGCCAGTACAGGCTGAAATCTATACTACCTAGATCCTAGTGCTGTGACCTTGGCAAGGTGCCTGGCTTCTCTGGTGGTCTCATAACCACGGCGTCTGATCTTTATGTGGCGGTTCCTAGAGCTCCTCTTCCTGTGGCATCCTGTGTGATCCTTTCTGCAGCCCTGTGGAGGGGGGCTGGGTTATAGCGCCCGTTTCCAGAAAGGGCAGATGTGTGGAAATCCTCACACCACGGTAGCTTTGTGACCTTAGGCCAATGATTGAGTGTCTCTAAACAAGGTGTCGGTTTTCTCATCTGTAAAATGGGTGTGATGATGCTGCCTGTACAGGATCGTTTTGAGGATTAGGCGAGGAAATGTTCATGAGGCCTGCCACACAGTAGGGGCAGGGGGAGAATGTTACTTCTCCTAGGGTGGCGATGTCAGATTGCCTTCTCTCCACAAGTTTCCATGAGTAAAACAGAACGTGGATTAAACAACAGCGCTGGGGAGATCCCAGCCCAGGGCTGGCATGTGCCAGAGACCATGGTGGAGCTGTTAAGGACAGGAGTCTGGGGCCCTGTGGGCTGGGGGTGGGGGGGTGTCACGCGGGGCGTGCCTCTGTCCCCGTGTGACCCCATCTCTTCCACCTGTCCAGGGAAAGGCCGTGGCCGGCAGGTGATTGCTGTGGCACGCACGGCTGACGTCGTCATCATGATGCTGGACGCCACCAAGGGAGAAGTGCAGAGGTCCGCAGGGTGGTGTGGCAGCGGGGGGGTGGGGTGGGGGGCGGAACTGATACATCTGGGGAGGTCCCTGGGTGGGCTCGTGGGATGCTGTGGCTACATCTGCTGTGTCCCTGAACTCATGATGGGTGGCCCGGGGGCTGCTTGGGCCTCTCCCACGTGGGAGCAGCAGCAGGCCTGTCCACAGGCTAAACCTGTGCGGTCAGCCTGGAGCATCGTCTCAGAGAGGCTCGCATCTGGCATGGAGGCGTCTGGAGGCTGAGGACTGCGCCATGCTGGCAGAAGCCTCTGCCACCAGCCCCTAGCTGGCACAGGCCGTCCTGGCTCTGGCTCCTGCCTGCCGAGGCTGAGGTGCCTCAGTTGCTGCCCAGAACCCACCGGGAGCCCAGCCTCAAGCAGCAGCTTTATTCGTGCCCCGACCTCCTGGCTAAGGGGCACACCGGGCCTCCTTCTGTGTGCCAGTCGCAGACCCAGCCAGTCTCCCCTCCGACTGGCCAGAAGGTCCAGAGGCTCCCCCTCTGCAGCTTTGGGTTGTTGGGACGGAACATTCTGGGTTCCTAGTGGTGGGTAGGAGGGCACTGGTCTCCCTCCAGCTGGGCAGGGGCTTCCTGTGGACCATGGAAGCCATCCGGCCTGCCTCTGGGCACTTGTGAAGGCTCATGGGGGCTCTACTCAGGTCTCTGCTGGAGAAGGAACTGGAATCAGTGGGTATCCGCCTCAACAAGCACAAGCCCAACATCTACTTCAAGGTGAGGCCCCTCTCCAGGCCTGGGCAGGTTTGGGATGATTGCAGCTGCCCCTTTGTGAGCAGCTCTCCCTTCCTCTCTTCTCCAGCCCAAGAAAGGTGGCGGCATCTCCTTCAACTCAACAGTCACGCTGACCCAATGCTCAGAAAAGCTGGTGCAGCTGATCCTGCATGAGTACAGTATCCTTTCCAAAAGCAGCAAGGGAGGGGCAACGTGAGACAGGAGGCCTTGTGGCCCAGGATACTAACAGACCACACCCCAAGCCACCCTGGATCCACCCGAGCAGCTACCAGGAAGGCTGCAGCCCGGTGACATGGTGCACTTCCTGTCCCCTTCGCCTCTGTGCTCACCGGGCTGCAGGCTGGCTGGGCCACAGCCATGTACTCAGCAGGGCCTTCCGGACTCCCTGCCGGGTTCTAGGCACTGGTAGCCAGTCACATCTAGGAGGAAGGTGAGATGGTGAGGGAAACAGCCCCCAAGGACAGGGTTCCTGGCCTGGGGAAGCCTCAGGGAGAACCAGGGGCCTGGCTGTTCACCGCTAAAGTAACGTTGGGGGCCTAGGTGAGTCCCTGGAGGACCCTGGAAGACGGGGCAGAGCCCCAGAGGTAGAGGAGCTCAGCATATGAAGAACTCACCATGGGACAGGCTGTCTGCAAGGTCGTGAGGCCCCTGTCACCACAGGTATGCAAGCAGAGGCAGAGTGGCCTCCAGAGGAGAGCTTTGCATGGGGGAAGGTGGGTTAGACCGGTGCTTGCAGACAGTGCTCTGGGCCCCGAAGCCTGGGGTTCCACTGAGGATTCTGGCAAGTACGTTTTTCTTCTTGCCTAACTGTGAAGATTGACGCCACTGATTGAAACTACATGTTCTGGTTCCTTTGGGAGAAAAAAAAAAATGAGGGCACTCCCCAAACTTTACCATCTTGTAAAATCTGCAAGGCAGATGCCCTCTGAGGTCCCTTGTGGCACTGTTTCTTGGGTGGCCCTTCCGGCCCCTCTGCCGTGGGGACACGAGGAGCCACTGGTGCCCAAGTGGCCCTTAATCCGAGCCCCTCAGAGATCTTCAATGCGGAGGTGCTCTTCCGAGAAGACTGCTCCCCGGACGAGTTCATTGATGTGATTGTGGGCAACCGGGTGTACATGCCCTGCCTGTATGTAAGTGGCGCCGGCCCCCAGGGTGTGCGTGCGGGAGGGAAGCTCTCCAGGGGCTGACCCGGATGCGAGGCAGGCTTCCCAGAGGAGCAGGAAGAGCCTGGGGCTGCCTCCACCCTCGCCTCCCCTCTCCCCTGGGGGCTGCGTGAGGCTTGCAGACCTGTCTAGCTTGACACCGGGGCTCTAGTCCAGCCTTCCCTTCTGGGCGTGGACAGCGGCCCCAGGCCCCTGCAGCCTTTCCCCATCCTTGAGGCGGCAGGGGAGGGAGGACATTGGCATTGGCATTGCTCCGAGGCCCACAGAGGGAGGAACTGTGGGCCAAGCCGAGGCATTTGGGGACCCATTTCTTGCGCTACTTTGTTCCATTCCTTCCCCAACACCTACCTCCCTGGTCTCAATCCCAGGTTTATAACAAAATCGACCAGATCTCAATGGAGGAAGTGGACCGCCTGGCCCGGAAGCCCAACAGTGTGGTCATCAGGTGAGCACTCAGCTGCCCTGAATCCTCCGTGTATGTGAGCTCATCAGGGCTTCCGGGCACCTTGGGCCAGGCAAGCCCCCCCATGTGCGCCCGGGGCAGAGGAGACCATCTCAGTAACGGATTTGACCTGGTCCTACCCCGGATCGGCCTGGGCAGAGTGGGTGATATGCGGTGGGCTCTGGTTAAGAAAACAGAAGGGAGGGGCGCCTGGGTGGCTCAGTTGGTTGAGCAACTGCCTTCGGCTCAGGTCATGATCCTGGAGTCCCGGGATCGAGTCCCACATCGGGCTCCCTGCTTGGTGAGGGGCCTGCTTCTCCCTCTGACCCTCGCCGCTCTCATGTACTCTCTCTCTCTCTCTCATTCTCACGCTCTCAAATAAATAAATAAATCTTAAAAAAAAAAAAACAGAAGGGAAATAGTACCACCAACGTAGATGGTTAATAATCACTAAGAGGCTACAGAGCCTAGTAATTAAAGGCAGGCCTCAGAAAGCCCAAGAGCGTGAGCCAGCTGCTCCTGGTCCTCTGGAAGATGCAGCTTCCCCGGTGTCCTCAGCGTCCTCCGCGCGCACCGCGGGCAGCGTGGCCGGTAAAGGGAACCGAAGCTGTCAGGTGGGTGGGGCCATCCTGGCCCTGCCCCCCCGGCCCTGCCTGGACCCGTGGGTCCTGGGGGTGCCTCCTGCGGTGTGGCTGAGGGCTGTTTGTTCACTCGTCACCATCCCTGCAAATTCCTCCTTTGGAGCAGCCTCGGGCTCCGCTCTGCTGGCGGCGCAGCTCAGACAAGGCTTACGGGGAGTGGGATGCTGAGGGACTAGGTGGGGTGACTGCTGCAAATGATGGGGAAGGGTCCTGGACCATCTCCCGGGCATTGCCGGCTACTGCCAAGAGCAGCAGAGAGCGGGCATCCTTCCCGAAGGACAGCTCAGTTCCTCTCCTGCTGCTGCGCCCCAGGCTCCCTTCAGGGGCTGCGCGAGGACAGGCTAGTCCTCCGGGCGTGAGGTCACCTCCACACCACACCTTCACCTGCTGTGCTCACAACGTGTCAGCGGAGGTCAGGGTACCCGCTCAGGGTCTCGCCTCCGCAAACAGTGAAGCCAGGGGCCGCGCCATCACTGACATCCCCACGGGGCTGCCTTGTGCCCGTCACTCCTCCCAGCAGCTGGCAGGAGGGAGGCCCCTGTCCAGAGCACCGCGGAGACCCCCAGCAAAGACAGCCGAGCTCTTCTGGGCGTGACCATGGCTGTGACCAGAGGCGTGGGCAGCTGAAGTGTCAAGCTGCCATCAGATCTGTGGGCTTGGTCCCCCATGGGTGCCAGATGGGCCGCACTGGCCCCAGTGCCCTTGTCTCCGAGCCCGTGGGGGCTGCTCTGACTGGCCGCCTTCCTCCCTGGCAGCTGCGGCATGAAGCTGAACCTGGACTACTTGCTTGAGATGCTTTGGGAGTACCTGGCCCTGACCTGCATCTACACCAAGAAGAGAGGACGTGAGTTCGGCGGCGGGTGGCCCTGGGCTGAGTCACCGTCCCTGTGGGGCTGCCAGGCTCTGCCTGTGGCACCCAGAGGGCCCAGTGCCCCTGGCTCAGCTTGTCCCGTACAGACTGCACCTCTTTTGCCATCTCAGAGCTGGCAGTGCCCTCGGGCCCAGGCTGCTAGAGCCCTCGGCTGAGCCTTTACAGAATGCCGCTCTTTGGGGCTGCTGGTCTTGAGGATGCCCCGGGGGCGGGGGCTGTGGGGGGCAGGGCAGCAGGCTAGAGGCCGGCCCGTGGTTCCCCACGGGCTACAGCGATCACCCCCCTCCCACGCCCCCGGGGTCAGCACTTGAGGCACGTGAATACAGAGGAGCCTTCACCATGCCCCGCCCACCCACCCCCTATGGCACACGTCTCACTCCCTGTGACTTTGCGGCTGGGTTCTGGCAGTTTGTGGGGCCTTGACCTTGTTGGCAAGGGAGCCGGTGCAGCTGCCCCTGACTCGTCACCAGCAGCTGTCACGTCTTGCCAGTGCTGTCCAGAGGCTCCGTGTGGCTGCATTTAGTTAGGGCTCTCGTGGCTGATGGGGTTGCAGGCCGCCTGAGTCCTGGACGTGGATTTCTGTTGATTTCCTGTGTTAAAGTCAAGGCTGCAGAACACCGCACAAAGATCTGTAGGGGAGGGTGTGCCGAATGGCGAGGAGAAGGCTAAGCCAAGGCTGGGGGCTGGAAGGGCCTCTGTCCCCTGGTGGAAGGCAACCACAGGGCAGCTTGGGGCCATAACTCGTTGCCTCCCTGTCCCCCCACCTCCAATCTTTACCTTTGCAGAGAGGCCAGACTTCACAGATGCCATCATCCTCCGGAAGGGGGCCTCCGTGGAGCATGTGGTGAGTTGCCGAGACGCATCCAGACGGCGGGTTAGGGAGGTCTCCGTGCCCACTGCGGGGTTTTGCCGAAGGCTCTGCCAGCCCTTCGCTGATGTGGGTGACCCGCTGTGGTAGCAGAGTGGCTGTGGGCAGGCTCTGGAGTTAGACCTGGGGTCGCCTCCCGGCCACCATTCCCAGCTGCGTAGCGAGCCCCCAGGCCTCCCCCGGAGGCAGGGGTGTACCGCCCACCCCAGTGGTGGTCGTCCCCATCCTGTCACACGCTGCTGCCCTGGGGCATTCATTTCTGTATTGTTAACTCCAAGTTGTGTTTCCCCAGTGTGCCGGCCTATGGCTTAGAGTAGCCGCCTCCATGCCCTTGGCCCCTCCTGGCTTCCTGTCCCCCAGTCAGCACCCCCGCAGCCCTCCCTGCTCCCGCATCCTGCCCCCGCCCCCAGCCCCAGATGGCTCTGAATGCTTTTTGCACTCAACACACATTTACTGAGCACTGACAGTAAACAACACAGCCCCAGTTCCGGCCAGAAGGGGTCCTTCAGGGGCAACAGATGCCAAACACCCAATGGCAGAGCTAAGAGGTCACACCTAAGGGGGAGTGCAACAAAGTAAGGGAATGGGGAGTGACCCTGAGTCTACACAGAGAGTCCACATGGTCTCAGGGGAGGGGACCTGCTTGGGCCTGTAGACCAAGGAGGACCTGACTGTGAAGATTTAGGGGTGGTGGAAACCCTCCCAGGCAGGGCAGCGAGGTATGCAAAGGTCCTGAGGCAGAGGGGCGCTGGGCTGAGCCTGTGGGCTCAGGGAGAGGAGTGTGGGTTCCATATCTGGAGTTTTGTTGCAGGCTCAAAGGTCACCTGTCCCAGAATGTGACCCTGCACCACTTTTTATGAAGGTATATGGGCCCTGCAGGAGCAGGTGACGGCCCAAGAGCCTGGGACGGTGTACCAGGTCACGCAGACAATTTAAGGCTTTGGTTTTGGGGCGTTTTGTTTTCCGTCTAGCTCATTTCTGTTCAGGATCTGTCTGGTGGATGAGTGGTAGGCTGGCCAGCAGTCTATGCTGCCGCATTCATTCATTCAGCAAGCCCAGCCTGAGACCTCCGCCAGCTAGGGGCCCGGATACAAACGGGCAGGGTTCGGCCTTGAAGGCCGGCATGGCCGGCAGAAACCACATCCCTTACATGACTCATAAGGAGCTCCGTGGGGGAGTCCCTGTCCCTGCAAGCCTGTTTCAAAACCTGTGGCAGAGGTGTGTCCTGGGGACTGAGCAGCTGTTGGTACAGGGGCCCCCACGTGCTGGTCCTCTGTGGGTTTCCCCTACACCCCCTGTGGGTACTTTCCTCTACCCTCTCACTCCCTGGCTGCTTGCCCAAGAGGATGTAGGACTTCAGCCACTCCAGGAAGAAAGCGGGAGATAGCAGGAGAATGGTTTTCTAGGCAGGGGAAATAGCAAGTACAAAGGCCCAGAGGCAGGAGCGAATGTGGGGAATGCTGGCTGTTTCCTATCCGCTGCACGAGGGACAGAGGCAGGAGGGGCCAGACCTAAGGGTGAGAAGTGCCCAGGGGCGTGGGGAGGGGCTTGGGGGGCCTGGCTCCAGAGCCTGGACTCTGTCCACGAGAGGCTTGCTCTTCAGTGGTCACCTCCTCCCTGCTCGCTCTCCGCACGGGTGCCTCCCTCCTGGGACATGCAGCTGTCCCAGGTGCCACAGAGTATACGAGAAGGCCTGCCTGGATGCTGACAGCAGGGGCCCAAAGTAGAGGAACCACGTGGACACTGGAGCCAGGCAGACTCAGGGTCATACCCTGGTTCCCCTGTACTGTGTCAGCCTCCCTGTGCCTCAGTTTCCTTTTCTGGGCGTAACTGAGCCCCAGCCCCAGGGCCTCTGTAATGCACCCAGCCTTGGCCCTGGTATGCATTCAGTAAGAGCTGATGAAGGCCTTGCCTCCAAAAGGGTCGTGGGCCGTAAGCCCCCAAAGCAGCGAGGGCCTCGCGGGGCTGTCAGCAGTGAGAGGCGTGGTGGGCACGGGGGAGCAGAAGTGTCGCCGTCATCAAACAGTATGCTCTCTCCCCTTGTAGAAAAGATGGCCTGGGATGACCTTCCATTGTCCCCCACTGCTAGACACAAGTGCAGAGAAAGGCAGAGGAAGCCCAGAGCAGGTGGGAAATGTTCTCACAGGCTCAGCATCCGCACAGGAGCGGGGGCCGAGGCATCGGGGCTCTGGCCAGGACCCATAAGGCTTGCGGGCACCTGGGGGGAGAGGCAGCACCACACGGCCTTCCCTCCAGCCCCCCTCCACTGCACCTGCCCCCCTGATCCCAGGGGGAACAGCTGCCCGCCCCTCCAAGGCCCCCTCCTTCCAGCTTCCTTTAGGAGCCCTGGGATTCTGGAGGTGGGGCTGGATGATGTCCTGGGCGGGCAGCCCCAGGTGCCAGCTGTGGCCAGGACGGTGACCAGGTGTGACTCCAGGCTGAGGTGGGGTGTCCCGAAAACCACCCCTGCCCATCCGAAGGATGGCAGGAAGGCTGCTGACAGCCAGAGCCAGATCTTCTTCTAAAGCCTTCGAGAACATTTTTTTTTAAGGATTTTATTTTATTTTATTTATTTATTAGAGAGAGGGAGCACAAGCAGGGGGGCGGCAGGCAGAGGGAGAAGCAGGCTCCCCACGGAGCAGGGAGCCTGATGTGGGACTTGATCCCAGGACCCCGGGATCATGACCTGAGCCGAAGGCAGACACTTAACGACTGAGCCATCCAGGCGCCCAAGGTTTCGGGAACATTTCTTTTTTTTTTTTTTTTTTATTAAAGATTTTTATTTATTTATTTGAGAGAGAGAATGAGATAGAGAGAGAGCATGAGAGGGGAGAGGGTCAGAGGGAGAAGCAGACTCCCTGCTGAGCAGGGAGCCCGATGTGGGACTCGATCCCGGGACTCCAGGATCATGACCTGAGCTGAAGGCAGTTGCTTAACCAACTGAGCCACCCAGGCGCCCTCAAGAACATTTCTAAAGGGCACCACAACCTTTGGGCCAGCCTGGAAGTGGGAGCATCAGAACAGCCTGCAGCCATGAACACGAGACTGGATCGAGCCAGTGGTATTCACAGGCCACGGCTCTGAGCGTCTGCCTGGGGAATTGCTACTTCTTGGCACCTGCCTGGGGCTTGGGTGTGTGGCTAAGCTCAGTGGCCTCGGGTAGAGATTCCTCTCACTGTCCCTCTCTCCCACCCTCCAGTGCCACCGCATCCACCGATCACTCGCCAGCCAGTTCAAGTACGCGCTGGTGTGGGTGAGTCTCTGGGCCGGAGATGGGCGGGGGTCATGCCCAGCATCGCCCCCGGGTTGGGCAGGAGCACGGCGTTCGTGCTGCTCCGTGCAGTGTCCCAGTTCAGGGGCGTGCGTGCTGACCCCTGCTGGCCTCTCCCACTTTGGGATCCAGGGATGGTCAGGCCCCTGGGGACATCCTCCTGTCTGTGGGCAGTCTGCCAGTGCTGGGGCCCCCACTTCAGACTCTAGCATTCACACCCCCCCAACTTACGTACAGCCACACCCACCTTCCTCCTGTAATAGCTATACCAGGCATGGCCCTGCTCAGGACAGAGGCTGACGTGGCCCCTTTGTCCCCTGCCTAGGGCACCAGCACCAAGTACAGCCCGCAACGGGTGGGCCTGACCCACACCATGGAGCACGAAGACGTCATCCAGATTGTCAAGAAGTAGTGCCTCCTGCGGGACCCCCTGCCTGCCCACCCTGTCTCCCCCGGGGAGTCGGACCCAGCCGGACGCACCAAAGCCCCGACAGGAAATACATACAAATACATACCCCCCAGGAAGGGGTCTCTCAAGTCTCTGCTGTTTCTGGAAGTTTCTTCGGTAGGCAGATAATGAAGAGTGTATTGGGGCAGAGGGACATGGTTGGGGAACTTGGGCTGGGCTGGTGGCATTTGCCGTGAGACTGGCACCTTGGGTGGGGGTTCTGTGTTTGGAACCCTGGGCCTGCGCCCTACCCCTGGCCCCCCCTCAGGCACCGAGGGGGCAGGTTGCCCACCTACCCTGCAGCCAGGGCCTCATGCAGACGGCTTGCTCAGTGCTGGGGCTCAGAGCCAAGCCTGCCCGGGTCCCTGGAAGCTGTAGTTTCTGTTGGGGCACCTTGGGCCTTCAGCTCCTCCCAGCCTGTCTGACACTCGGGGAGGGGGCCTCCCAGCCCTCTGCCCCGCCCCGGGGCTGCTCCATGGTGGCTTTAAGCCCCAGCTCATGCCCTCCTCAGCCCGAGGAGTCCTAATGTACTGCCCTCCCAGGGCCACCCCTGCCCAGCACCGACCCCGGGACCCGGGCCCTGCACAGATGCCTGGAGTGGTGGCTCTGGTGTTGGGTTTCTGTACTTTTTCCCCAAGCCCCTGGTCTTGGCTCTCCTTTCTACAATAAAGAGTGGAAACAATCCCTGTTCAGACTGAGAACAGTTCTGTCAGTTTGCTGAACTCTGTTGCCAGGCTGGGTCAGGGCCAGCCACGAGCCTGGTGATCCGAGGATGGCTGGAGCCTGGGCTGTGGGAGAGCAGGCCCAAGTCTGGGGTACAAAGGAGATATGGGGGACCTCCAGGGTGGTCTCTGCCCTGGAAGGTTGGCCAGGGACCGTGGGCCCCAGATGTGGCACCTCCTGAGGCCAGGCCTGGCTGCCAAGGTGGGCAGAATTCTCAGAAGGCCCTTGCGGCTTTCGGGGTGGCAGGGAGGCTCCCCTGTGAGAGCAAAGTAGCCGGGTCTATCATCTGTTACCTCAGCAGGCAGGGCCGGACGGGCCTTGGTGTGGTGCCAAGGAGTGGCAGCAGGTGGTCACTGAGCCCCTGCATGCCAGGGTCGGTGCAGGGCCATCCCAGCAGCCTGTTCTCCAGGGACAGCAACTTGCCCTGGGCTTCTACAGCTTGTAAGTGCAGAGCTGGGATTTGAACCCCAGCTGTGGCTTCTGAGCCACAGGGGAGGCTTCCTGGAGGAGGTGGGCCTTTTGAGAGTGAATCGTAACAGGTTTTATGGGGCTCCCAGGCACTGGGCTGGCAGGAGGCGGCGAGGGCTTCCCCGGGGGTCTTCAGGTCCAGCTGGGCTGTGGAGCAGGCCCCCTGCCCCCCTTTCCAGGCTGTTCTGGCTCCTCTGTCAGCTGCTCAGGCTCCTTTCCTGAGACAAAACAGGAATAATAGACATCATTAAATATACATGGGGCCCCAGGCGGTTGGCGTGGTGGGCTGGGCCTCCCTTCCCCGCAACACTGAGCGGCTCTGCTGGGCTGGCCGTGCTCCTGGGGCCAGCCACAGGACCCCCATTAGACGGCATGCAGGCAGGGAGCAGGCCACGGGACCCAGGTAAGGAGAGCCCAGCCCTGGGCCCTTGGGGTCTGCCACAAGTACCTCTCCCCGGGTTGCAGGGAGGGGAAGAAGGGAGAGGGCAGTGGGCCTTGCCCCTAACTCACAGTGAGGCACTCCCTGGGCCTCGGTTTCTTCATCCATAAAATGGGCATGATGCCCACACAGTTCCCCTCTCAGTGAGGGTCGGATGCCAAGACAGGCAAGTGCTCTGTGGCTTACCTCAGCCCTTCTCCCCGCGGCCACCAGGCCCAGCCATGAGGTCCCACGTAAGGGTTTCCGTCTGGGTGATGGTCACTGCTACTTCTTGCCTTGCAGGTAGGGAAGGGCCCCATGTTCACAGAGCGTCAGATCCAGGCCTATTCTGTGTACCAGGCCGGCTGGGAAAGGGTGGGAGATGAGGCCAGAGGTCCTCAGGCAGTATGGGCTTGGGGCAGGCTTTGCCAAGAGTCTCCAGCCACTGGGCCACTGTGTTCCCTACCACGGACGGGCTGTTTCCTGGGCCAGGTCTGTGTGTCCATAGATCCGGGCAATCTGCTTCTCTGTGTTGAACGTTTGGTTTTCTGGATGGGTGGCTGGCATGGTTATGCTGTCTGGGCCCGAGTGAGAGCCGAAGGAACCACATGCTGTGCACACCCAGGTCAGTGTGAACTGACGGCTTGCAGAGGAGTGTCCTTAGGGCTGGAGAAGCCCCTCTAAGAGCCCCTGAGGTCCCTGCCCCTCCCCACCAGGGTGAGTGCCAAGCGTTGGGCCCCGCCCCAGACGGCCACCCTGTTGCCACCGCTCACCCTCCCTGGGCCTTCTTTCAGGCAGGCTGATCCGAAGCCCCTTCCTGCTCAGAAGATCGTGAAGGTCAATGATACCCATGCCCTCACTCAGGCCCATCCACAGACCAGAGGGCTGCATTCCCAGAGGGCCCAGCCTGCAGCTTGACTCGGGGGCAAAGGAACCCAGGGCATGAATATTCATCCACATCTGTGTTGTTTCTCTCCATGTCCCTCCTCTTCAGCTTAGATTCCATGCCTCCTCATTTCAGAAACCTCCTTTGGCAAGAATCCCTCCCGCTAAAGCTCATCTGCCCTCAAGATCCCCTCTGGCCTGGCCCCAGGAGCGGGGCTGGGGGGCTCGTACTGTCTGTTGGGGAGGGTCTCCCCACAGCAAGGCCTGCCTCAGGTGCTCCCTCGGCAGCTCTTCTAACCACCTCTGCTCCCCTTGAACCCCAGCTGGGAAACTCCTCATCTCCAAACGCTCCGGGCTCATCCACACCTCCATGATGGAGAGGCCGAGTCCAGGCCACCTCCTCTGGCCTTCACACCTTCACACTGCGTGGATGACTCAGCCTCCCTCTGTTTCTCTCAGTTTCTCGCTCTCTCTTCTGGGTCGGTCCCACTGATTTGCCAACTAATCTGTATTAGTTTGCTGCTCGTGCCGCCATAACGAAGTATCACAGACTAGAGGTCCTAGACAATAGAAATTGATTCCCTCGCCTTTCTGGAGGCTGGAAGTCTGCGAGCAAAATGGCAGGGTTGGTTTCTCCTGAGGCCTCTCTCCTTGACTCAGAGGCTCACGGCAACCCTCATCCGGCCTTTTGTCTGTGCACCTCGTCCATGGAAAAAATTATGAGCCCCTGGACATGTCATTCCCTGTGGCCACCTGCTTTTCGTGGCTTAGCTCCTCCAAGTACCCCGCCCCCGTATCAGTCTCACCCACCAGCTCTCCCCAACATGCTGCCTAAACAGCTCCTGCCCCGGCCCGATGGGAAGAGCAGTTCCCACCTTATTACATATCGTGTGAATCTAGTGAGATACTAGAGCAAAGCATTCCGGACCAAGCCTGGCCCACAGTAAAACGTCCCAGTGTTGGTTTTGTTATTTTCAAAATGCGTATGTGGTCTTGGCACTCCTGACAGTCTAAAACCCTTCCGAGGCTCCCCACTACTTTAGGGATAGAGATCCTCTCACCACTTGGCCTTTGCACATGCTGTTCCACCTGCCTGGAACACTATTCCCTCTTTCATTTGATTCGCTCCCTCTCATCTTTCAGATCTTGGCTCAGGGTCACCTACTCAGGGGCACCTTTCTGGTCTTCTAATGCACTGTTTGCCCACCTGGCTTGTGGTGGGCCTGGCCTCCAGAGCCCTGCTCATGGCTAGCAGTGTCCCCCTTGGGGTGGCTCTTTGCTTCAAGTCTGTGTCCCTGTGACCCTGGGAGTTCCACGAACACAAGAGACTGTGGCTGGTTCCACTCAACGGTGGGAGCCCCTAGCACCCAACACGGTGGCTGGCCCCGAGATACACAAGCAACATTGAGGAATGAATGCATGGGTGAGAAACTTGATCCCTGATAGCCCCTCCGTGCATGCTGCCGAGGCCGGGGACACTGAGAGGGAGATGGGACCCACACCCACTGGAGAAGGGGCAGCCCTGGCTGACTGGGGCCACTATCCCCATAGCCGAGGGGCAAGCCTGGGCCCCGGAGACCAGAAAGGACCATGGGAGCAGGCCGGGCTGCCCACAGTCACCCAGACCACCTGCCCAGAGCAGACAGGATGCCATAATGATGGCAGTTTACTCCAGGCTAGGCTCTCGAATTCAGTGCTTGCCTCAGCCCTGCACGGGGAAGGTGCTATCAGTACCCACATTTACGGACGAGGAGACCTAGGCGCAGAGGCTGCATGACTTGCTGTGGTCAGATCCAGGACAGGAATGGGACCTGACCCATGGCTCTGAGCCACCCCACTCCGCATCTGCTGGGCTCCCCAGAGTGCCGTGGGCCCTCCTGCAGCAGCATGGTTCACCTCTCTGAACATCAGTCTCTTCATCCGAACCAAGGACCCTCCACTTAGAGCAGACAAAGGATGTGGCTCTGGGACATGTCCTTGAGCCCGAACCTACCCTGTCCGCTCTCCCTGGCCTCAGTTTCCTCAAATGTCACATGGAGCTGGGGGACAGGGTTGGATCTTGTGGTGTCAGGCCGACATTCTTCCAAGAGCCCCTCTAATGGGGTGTTTCCACTCGCTGTTTCCAATCTCTTTTTTCCATTAATGCACTCACATGGTTCAGAAATCCAAATGATACAGAAAGGTTTATAGCTGGATAACCATTTTCATCAATTTCTCGAATACCTTTCTCAGTATTTCTACGTGTGAATAAAAGCAAAGAGCAATTTATATTCCTTCCCCCACACCTGTTACAAGAAAGGAGGCCCGGGGCTGTACTATAGTCAGTACCGTTCTGCACCGTGCTCCCATCATCAGCAGATTCTGCAGATCGTCTCCTAGCCACACACACAGAGATGGCCTATGCTCTTTTTTACGGCTGTGTAGTAATCCATCATGGACCACACCACGGTGTAGGTAGCAAGGGGCAGCTGAGTGTGTATGCCATTCCCGTGTGCACAAGGGCTCTGCAGGATGGAGTCCTGGCAGTGGGCTCCTCCCTCCCGCTCACCCTTTTCTCTAACAGCTTTGAGATATAATTCCCCCGCCACATGGTTC